AGGAGGACATCAGCCCTTATTTGTAACCTGTCCTCTCCTCTACATCTCTTATGCTCAATGCAGAAGTTTCTACATGATGTAGCCTCTTGTTGGGCTACCTTGTATGAAACTTATCTCGCATCTGATGGTTATTATTGAAAGGAAATTTGTCCTTGTAGGAACTCAAGTCTTTGAAGCAGACAGTTCACATTTGTCTTGGCAGAATTTTTATTCCTCAGCAGCTCAGGTGCACGTCTGAAGGGGGGGGTACCTGTGAGGAGTGGGGAGAAGAGGGCAGGAGGTAGGGGCTGTTGGCCAGAAAGGACACAGGGTGTTCATATAAATGAATAGTACAGCCTGTTCATATCCAAGAGCACTCTCCCCAGCAGAAAGGAGAAGGTTGCATAACGCAAGTCTCCTGAGGACGTTGCCTGCAGCTCATTTAACTGGGAGGTCATGCACATAATTCATTTCTGCGATGTTGCTTCCTCGAATGCATTTTCATAATTTGGGAGGGTGTCACCAAACATTTTGGTCAGGGCAGAGCAGTTACTTGCGTCATAGGCAGCTGATAAAGGCATGCCTGTGCTGATACCAACTCCATATGGTCTGAGAGGTGCAACGTGATGTCCACCAGCTGCGAGTGAGGCAGCGAGGGTCATCACTGCTACAGGACAGGTTATTCATGCACAAACCCTGCCATAACTTGTGCCAGAAAACAAGCTTACTCTACCAAACTACCTACTGTTTTCCATGATTCTGCTTAAGCCCTGCCATGAGATGACAAGACCATGAGGCTTGCAGAGTTAACAGGTTGTAGAGCTTGTGTGATCCTTGTGGGTAACGCGTATTGGTCTGTATGTGTTCCGAGCCAAATGTGCTGGAATTGCGTGCAACTGATTGTAAAAGCACTTCCAAAAAAAGCATGAAAAATTAGGTGAGTGAGGGGGTTTCTTTTGCAGAAAGTTGGCAGATGGCACTGTTTCTTACAGGAGGATAAACAGAGAGGAGTGTGAGGCACTGGCTCCTCTCAGCCTGATCTAGCATGTACTTTGTTGTCTTTTTGGGCAGTGGGTCAAGCCTTTATTGTGTGAACTTGACTGTACATTCTTTAGGGCCAGGGCAGCACCTATAGAAGATGTTAATTGGCAGCGTCTTTAGAAGTTTATACATTACAAACAGTTCATGATCATGACAAACGAGTGCTGAGTTGGTACGCTTCCCAGCATCCATACTTAATATTCCTCTGGTCTACAGAAATATTCCTCTGGATGTGCCTTGACATACGGTGCCCTTCTCACTGTTGTGCATGCACTTTGGAGCAGAATTCATGCATTGCTGTTACAGTAGTGATAGGACTAGTTATCCATAGATCACTCAAAATGAGAGGATGTACTGGAAACTGCAAAGGTCTGTCCTTTTCAGAGTTTTTATCAATGATTTGCAGGGGGGAAGGAGGAATAGGCAATAGGCTTATTAAATAACAAATGATGTGGGAGAAAGTACGTAATTAGAATTCAAAGCGATTTTGACAAATTGGAGAAAGGATCTGGAGAAAAAAAAAAAGGATGAAATTTAGTATGGACAGTGCACTAGACAGAAATAATTAGGTGAATACATGCAGGTTGAAGACCAGCCAGTTAGGCACAAGTCCTTCAGGAAGGGATCCAGGGGTGCAACAAATCACTGGATGACTATAACTTAGTATTGCCATGCTGCTGTATAAAGAGATGAGCCACATAGAGGGTTATATGCACAGGAGCATGTTGTGCAACTGTTGCTTTGCTGCTTTGCATTAGAAAGTCCTTCATTAAAGTGCTACATCTTGATCTGGGCAATGCAATCGGGATAGATGTGACTAACTGAAGACCCACAAGAATGATCAAAGGGGTAGAAAACAAGACTACAGAGTAAAATAGGGTTGTAGAGAAGACAAGAGCTGTCTTCAGATAACAGAACTCTAGTATGTAAAAACTGTCACAAAGAAAATGATGTTTTCCTTGTTCATGATGTAAAACAAATAGGAACAGGCATGAACTGAGACAGAAAAAGATTCAGTGTAGACATGGGGAAACTTTTCTAACAATAAAGATAGTGAAGTCTTTTGCCTGGGGAGCTTGTGGAGTCAGCATTGTAAGAAGTCTTTAATAGTTAGTTAGACAACCAGCAGGAAAAACATCAACAGAATTGGTTCTGCCGCCTCAAATTCCCTTCTATGACTTGACAGTTCTTCAGTAAGAGAGCTGGCAGTGATACTTCTCAGAGAGGGACCCCAGGACTCTTCCTATGACCAGAGTAGTAGTGGTAGCTTGTATTGCCCCATAAAGGTTTTACGTGAAAACATTCAAAATATTTTACCGTGTATCCTGCATGAAGCATTTAATTTGTCGCTAGAAATTTAACCCGCTTCTCATTGATAAGTAACAGTCTGTATAAATGAACACATACAACCAGAAGCCTACGGGAAGTAAACCACAAGAATGTCTGTCTTTCTGCAGATTGACATTTCCAAATGCCACTATCTGGTGGACTTGGATACAGCAGCTGAAACCCCAAGGGAGCCAAGATATTCCTCCAACAAAGAAGAGTGGGTAACCATTGCCTACAAGCCATTCCTAGATGCTTCCAGGTATGTTTTACACATTTGAGAGGGAGGGAGGGAAAAAGGCTGGTAGGTCTGTGAACTAATTCTGTTCAATTACCCACTTGCAAAAGTAGCTATGTACAGGGAGGAAAGATACATTGGCAAACACCAGCTTGAAATCCAGTTTCCAGTAAAGCCAGCTTGCTGGCTACAGTGGAACCTTTGTCAAACTTGTACTTGCAATATTTATGACCTTGGCTGCTTTAGAGGGTGAAGCTATCTGAGAAGGGTGGTGAGAAGGATTATTTTTAAAAAGAATCCTTCCTGTGCACTTCTTGCTGAAGTAATGTTTTTTGTTTTGCTTTCTAAAGAAATGAGGTGTATGTCATCTCCTCCCAACAGATTTTTGAATCTGCTGTCTTGTTTCAGCCAAATTCAAGACAGGTGTAAGTCAGTCTCAAAGAGCATGAGCTCTTACAAATTCTATGAAAGCTGGCAGAGAGAGGAGTCAGTCTCATCGAGTGAAAAGTCAGCAAGGTCACACCTTTATTAGGCATCAGAGAATCCATGGGAGAGACCTCTGTTAGAATCCGTTCTTCATTAGTTCGACTGCTCACTGAACAACTTGCTTGTGTGTTTGAACAGGAATTTCTGTGATAAGCAGAGATTGAAATTGCTCTGCTCCAGGCTAACAGGGGGTGGAATTAGGGTTGTCACACTGGGAATGTTGTTAATACATTCCTGCAAATACAGAAACCTGCAGCTGTAAGGGGATGGTTATTTAGCCATTTAAAGCTCTGGTCATGTAGCTGTTGTAACGGGACAGAGAGGCTGACTGGAAAAATCTCTGTAAAAAAAACTAACACAGAGTTCAGTGTCCTCCTATTTTCTATGTGAGACCTTATTACTTCCTAGAAACAGGACCCTCCAGGGAGGAGGGCTGGTAAAAGCAGTTGAACAGTGAGAAAGAGCGATCATGTTAGAGCAACTCCCAGGAGTGCTGTAATGTTCCCAGCTTGCTGACACAAACAAGTTTTCGTGGCAGGGTTTGTCATTAACTATGTTTTCCAAGAGACCTGCTGTTACATTCAGGCAGGACTTTAGGAAGGGAGAATGAGATGGCCAATGAGTCTTATTAATGAGGCAACAGAAGCATCTGCATAAGAGTTTTTTGCAAAAGACTCCCTGTGTAGAGCATATACCCCTGGATGTGCATTTCTGCTTTGAAGACACATTCATGTGTTTTTAAAGCTGGTTTATCTTGCTATCCTCTCCTGAACAGCCAAGCTTTGATTGTTTGGACCTGATCTAAAGTCCTTTGAAGTCAATCAGAGGCAGTGAGTCAGGTCCAAATGAGCTTTTAAGACATCTTGGGTTAACCATGGGGATGTAATTTGCTAGGGGTGCTTTTGGAGGTAGCAACTGTCTGCCGTGGAGATGCTGGCCTGCCTAATGAAAGCAGGTATGGCTGGTATGGCTGTACATGTCACAGTCATTCTCCAGAATGTCCTGGATTCTCCATTGCTTTTTTCCACTTTTGCTCATTTTTCCTGTACTTAGCTGATGTTTGGTAGAGAAGGAGTTGGTCTGTCTCATGGGGCTTTTTGGATTATTGCACTTTCAGCCCCCACCCATAGCCTCTGAGCTTTTGATTAAAGCTCGTGAGAGACATACCACTGCTCTCTCTTCTGAACCCGTTTCGTATCCCCTTAGAGGCTGTGCCCTGCTGAATGCAAACCAGCATCTCTCTGGAAGAAACAGCACAGTGTATCTGCGCCTTTTGTGGGGAGAGAGTTGAGTCTGCAACTGTAGGCCTTACCACAGGATGGACGCAATTGTTTCGAATCCTTCACTTTCACTCAGGCTTTTTTGTTCATTCCGAACTTGGCTGGGGATTTTTCCTGTAAGGTGCGTGTACATCTGATACCATCTCCATCCTGACCCTGCTGCAGCCTGCAATGTTGGCTGGAATCAGTGCAAGGAGTTAAGCTAGAACCAAAAGCATAGCTCAGTACTGAGCTGAGTCCTTGTCACTCTTCACTGCTTTAATGCTGTTTCTGTTTGAGTCACTCTGACATTTTTCTTTCTTTTTTTCCCCTCCTTCTTATTAGGGGAAATTGATAGGATTAAGGAATTTCCTTATTTACAGCTAAACCCCTGAATCCTGCCAAGCATAAATATCTGGCTGGCTTCTCAGGAATTTGGCTGAATACGTAGGTAGATGTGGTGTTGCAGCTCTGTGCTTCTGGGGCGATGTGCTGCCTGCCAGACTGAGGCTGGTAACTTATTCCCAAGGCTGGCAGTGAAAACCTGTGCAATCATTTTGATTTGATATATGATACTGCGTGTTGCATTTAGATGATCTAAACTCCAGCTAGATTCCCAAGCTGTATGTCTCTTGTTGGCTGAGTATCTTTGCAAGCCTGCAGCCAAACTCTGGTAACGTACTCAGTACAGGGATGTCAATTTCTGTGTGTGGTCCTTCATGTCTGGCTTGTGAAGGGAGAGTGCATGTGGCTGTTACCAGTGGAAGTAATGGCTTGGCTTGTTGTAGCAAAGGTAGCATCTCGCCACGGAGCAGCAGGTTGTTGTGAGAAGTTGGGAGTCACAGACAGATTCTGAAACTTCAGAGCATACTGACCGTGGTAACGATGAGATGTAAAGGGAGAATACTGAGGGTGGGGAAAGGGGAGCATGCTCCCTAGGTAAGCAATCACAAAGACCTTAGAACAGATCATCTAAAGGTGGTGGGGAGGGAAGGGGATCTTTCTGGCTGCTGTGTCCTGCTTAACAAAAGATGCTGTTGCGTTAGTGGGAGACTGGAATAGAAGAGGGTTTGCAGCGCATCTCCCAAGAGGAGATCAGGCAGTCAGATCATTAGTCCTGCTGGTGTCGCCTGTCAGCCTCTTCTGCTCCTGTTCTTGTGCTGCATGGAAATTCTCCATGCTGTTCCTTATCAGCGCCTCACAGCTGGAGCAGAGGGGAGGTGTGGTGCCTTCACCAGTGGAGGAGGCCAGGTTGCCATAGCAGCAGGTCTGATTCCTATCCCTGCTGTTAGTACCTTCGGAGCTCCCGCAGTTTGGAGCGCTGGGCGCTGTCCCTTCAGCAGACCTTCAGCAGTCTGCAGGTGGGGCAGCTCGAGTGCACAGTGCTGGAGAAGGACTGGAAAGGCATGTGGTTACCTGGGGGGTGTCACTGATGCTGAGGGATGAGAGAACCAGCAGTGTCTCCCCATCTTGTCATCCTGCTTGTCTGACAGATTGTCTCTTCCCCCTGAAGAACAGTAAGCCAGAAACCATGGCCTGCCTAGCAGGGCAAACGCGTAGCAGTGGGCACAGCTTCCCACCCTCATGGTACAGTGAAGAGCAGAAAGAACAAACCATGCAAGGTCTGATCTGCCCTGTTTTTATCCAGTGTGTCATTTAAGGTATCACATTTAAAATTGGGTACTACAGACAACATCAAGGCCTCTTTTGCCAGCATGTCCACAACAGCATGAGCAACAGAAATTTCAGAAAGGCTCTTTTTGGATTGCCTGCTTCATAATTTTTTGTCATATATCTTTAATTTCTTTCTGTAATTTGGCCCTTGGAGAAGCGGTAGGGTGGATGAGTGATTAAGGGGCTCAGCTGAAATTTGGTGCTCCCATGACTCTGTCCCAGGTCTCTTAAAGCCTCCCTGTGTTGCAGTTTTCCATTTGGACCAAAAGTTTGTTAGCTCCACACTTATTTCCAGGAGTTTGTTGGCAATGAATGAAAGAGTGAGGCGCTTCAATTTCATAATAGCAGTGGCAGGTAAATACCTTTCCGTTGTTTTGCATCTAAGTATTGGAATTTTGCTGCAACATCTATATAAAGCTTTCCCATGGCAAATGTTCAAAATCAGTCTGTTGAGCTCCTTGCTCTGAATGCGTCATAGCATTTCTAAAATAAGGCAGCGTTGTTCGCTTTGTTTTTTTTCTCTGAGTGTGACTGAGTTGTAACTTGCATAAAATAATGGGGCTCAAGCAATTGTCAAAAGAGGAAATGACACAAGTTTTATGGTAGATTGGCAGCTGACAGATGAGTTAGCTAGAGGCAATTGCAAATCTCCCTAGCAACTGAATGAGATGCAAAGGTCTGTCTCACCCTGCAGACCCAGGCATTAGCTATTGTCCTTTTGTCGAGTTTGGAAAACCTCATTTGCAAAGCAGGTACTACTGGTGTGTCTTTCTGTCTGTGGCTGCAGCAGTCTCTCTTGCTGCTAGTCAGCCCTTGCTTTGCTTGCTTCTGTCCTTACCCGGTCTGTAGGGTACCAAGGCTTCCAGAGCAGGCACTGCAGAACCTCAGAGGGAGGACACTGAGAGTTGCCACTCTGTCCAGCTGGAAGGTTCTCTGAGGGCATCAGTGATGCCCTGAGACTGTTTCAGGGATGCAACAAGTACTTTTATAGTCTGGAAAGCTGTTGGCAGGCCTGATAGTGGAGAAGGTATGGGAATCCCAGCAAAAACACTTCTGTGTTTTTGTTTCATTTTAATTTGAGACAACAAATCTAGGCAGTGCTGTCTCTCTTAGAGTTGAGAAATTGATCATTCTGAGGAGTTTAGCTGCAGGAGAGCAGCAGTTACGCAGTTGTAACAGCATGTTAGGTGCTAGAAATTGGTAAGCTGAAAGGATCCCAGAGCTAGTAGATCTGTGGGGAGAGTTCTTCCCAGGGTCAGACACACAGGTCTGTGGGTAGTCAGTGAAGATGCATCAAAACTCCTATAATGATCCAGGCTGCTTGCGTTTCTGAGCATGTACCTTCCCCCCCTCCCCAGCTCAGCAGAATGACGTGTCTCTCAAATCCGGCACCTGCTTCCACACAATGATTTGGAAATGTCCCCTGCTACCTATGAAGTAAGTGTAAAAAACACTATGAAAATGCAGCTTTTTTTATAAAAGGGAAGGAGGAACAGAAGTGTCACTTTGAACGGAGCTGTGAAGGAAGCTGCTAGTGTAGATTTCAGGTCTGCAGCTCAGTGGCTGCAGAGCAAGAAGCATTTGGGGGGAAAAAACCCCCATCAA